CCTACCTATTGGCCATTCAGCTCTTTATTAGACCAATCAGGTGCCTTAGGCAGTCAAGGTGAAACAAATGCAACACATCTTTTCATAATCAAACAAATGTATCATAAACAAAAGTAACACACCTTTACACAGTTAAAGTAACATTCTGCAGCAAAAATGATTGTGACACATCTTTACATAGTTACAATAATATTCTACAACTGGGGCTGGAGAGATGGCTCAGAGGTTAAGAGCACTGGCTGTTCTTGCAGAGGTCCTGAGTTCTATTCCCAGCAACCACATGGTGGCTCACAACCATCTGTAATGAGATCTGACACCCTCTTCTGGCATATAGGCACAACACAGTAAACATAATAAATAAATCTTTAAAAAAATATTCTACAACCCTCCTCCCTGTGAAATATCCCCAAATTGAAGGAGAAGTTAACATTCCCTAAATGCTAAAGTCAGAAAATGGTTCACCCCCAGTACAAATGCCCAGTAAACTAGGAATGGGTAGGAATAGCCTCAATAAATGTGACACCCAAAATGTCCATAGCTAACATTACACTCCGTGGTGAAACTAACTTTCCTCTGTGGTGGAGATCAAAATGAGGATGCCTGCCCTTAGCAGTTCTGTTTATAATAGTACTGGATGTCCCAGTAGAGCAATTAGAGGAGAAAAGAATCCACAGGAAGTCATAAAAGAAAGCCATAAAATCACTATGTTCCAAGTCTAAGGCAGGCAAAAACCCTAAGTATTCAACAAAACATAACTGACTGAACACAAGATACACAAATTCAGAAGAATGTAGAGCTAACTGGCAAATTTTTTGAAATAACTGATATTTACAATGTTTAATGTAGAGCATTTGCCAATATGGATCACATTTTGAGCCACAGAACAACTTGAAAACATAAACTTTATAAAATAGGTTCTTTGAACAGAAAGCCATTTAAGAAAGAAAAACCAAAGTACAAATGGGAGTTTAGAAAAGCCTCTGCCCTTCAAAATTAAATTCTATGCTTTGAAATAACTTGCTAGTCACAAAGGAAACTGGAATGTGTTTTCACAAGTAACAATGGTGTCCTGGAAGATTATATGGGACTGCAACTTCTTTCCAATTCCTTCCTTTGTGTTGGAAAATAACTCCTTGTGGAACTTGCCCAGCTTGAGTGGCATATTATCCCACAGAATATGACAAAGGTGTGTTTAGGATCCTCAGAGGTGCGGCTGTAAGAGGTAATGCAGCTTTCCTAGCATCTTCTGGAATACCAATTTGGTGAAAGATAGCCACCAGGAAGTATCTGTGGTAGTCTAAATTAGAGTTGCCCAGCCCCCAATAGCTTTATAAACAATTTCTGGAGCCACCCTCCTAGATTCTTGTGGCCTTGATTTACCTTCCTGATTTAGTGTGGGGATCACATGGAATCTTAAGACCTTCCTTTTAGCCAAGTCTCAAAGCTTGATCAGGTCTGCACTGGGGTGGAGAACAATTTTAGATCTCAGAACAAACTTTCCAACATATTTTATCATGACAGGAATACATTTATTTTGAGTCCCAGGAAAGATACTAACTAAGGCACAAATGAAATAAGTTTCACAACGCAACTTTTGCTACATATGATATGCTGACATTCTGTGTTCTGTTATTACCTATTCAGTTGCATGAAACAAAAAGTGACATTGCATGATGTCACAGTCTACTAATGGGCAGAGGCCACATGGGAACCTTGCAGGATGAGCTTCATCTCAGGGACCCTATGGCAGAGAGAATAGAGATGGCCCTCTCTTGCCAAGTCCACACCTGGGAGTATGTGTCAGTTATAAGAAGGCATGATGTTAATAGCCATTTTCTAAAATATGCAGAAGAAAGCTCAAAGGAGAGGTCTTTGTTTCTGTATCTATGATATTCTACAATCATCTGGAAGGTTCCTCACAGTGACCTTTTCTAAGCAGCACAGAGCTGTTCCTCTAAGTGGAGAATCCCAAGGATGTCTTGTGAGTGCTCCCAAATGCTCTGCGTCATTCCCAGGACTTCAGTGGGCATTCTTGGAGAAGGAAGATGGTGAGTTGGTTCTGTGATAAAACGGGGAAGAAAATGCTGAGTGTAGCATTTTCTCAGCGTCTGATTGGACTGTCCTGTGACAGGTAGTGGTGATGCAGGGTTACTGAATGTACCATATTTCACCACAGAGCCCTTGTGTTGATAAACCCTGAAGTTCTGGAGAAGTCAGTTGCAGGAGATACTTTCCTAAGAGATGGCTCTCTACTTCCTCACTAGCTGGAAGCAGACATGGGCGATGTACTGCTTCATACCAGCATGTGCTAAGCCCGGGGCCAGGGAGGGAGGGAAGCTTACCTCTGTTAATATGATGAAAAAGTAATGGAACCTACCATCTCAAGATCCCACTGGCTTAATTGTCCTTTACAGTTGTAACTGTTCAAAAGGAGCCACAGTAGTCTATGACATGAAGTCATTTAGACACCCGCTGAGGCTGTCCAAACTGTGACCTGGGAGCAGAGCCACTGAATCAGTGAGTGACCTGAGCTAACTCTCCAGTTCTGAATCCTTCTGTAGGGCACCATTCACACACAATCCCTGTGTTGGCCAGGACAGAGGACCTCTCCAAATATGTTTATGTTGTAAAGCATACACTTTTAAATATGTATTTTCATTTTAGTGTGTGTGTGTGTGTGTGTGTGTGTGTGTGTGTGTGTGTGTATACAGGTGCCAAGGAGGCTGCAAATGGGAGTGGGCATTAGATCCCCTAGTGCCAGAATTACAGGCTGTTAGCTGCTCCATGTGGGTGCTGGGGCCACCTTTGGAATTCTTAACCACAACTTTGGAAACCACTTTAAAATATGGCTTATAGGGCTGGAGAAATGCCCTAGTGAATAAATGTGCATACTGTTCCTTCAAAGGACCCAAATTGGGATCCCAGCACCCAGTGCCCCAAGTTTGAGCCCTGGATCCCACACAATGGAAGAACAACAACTCAAGTTGCCCTCTGCCTCCACATACAGGCTGAGGCCTAGGTGCACTCTCCCTAGCAATGAATTGAAGACATACGTTCAAAAAGAATTTTCAATGCATTGCTTTTCATCCACTGACTTTTACTTTGCTGTAAGCCCTGGACCTCAGTGGGTAGGAAAATCAGAACCAGACTCAAATCGAGCCACAGAGCACCTGTGTGGTAAGTCCAAGTCCATCACCAGTGAGACAGCTTGGGGTTGGGACAGTGAGTTGCCATACACTATGAAGAGTAGTTCTAAAACATTGTTCCTAAACTAACTGATTCACTTCCAAGCTAGAGAAAGGCGAGACCCCTGAACACGAGCACCTAGCTGGAAATCGTAGTTGCTTCTAAAAATGTTTGCACTCTTATATGGGAATTAAATTAATTTACAGGACCCAGACTCATCGTTTTCTTACCTTCTATAATATACTACATTTATATTCCAAATAATAAAAATAAGCCCCCCTCCGCCAATCTCAGAAGTGATGGCCTTTAAACAGCATCTCTCTGTGACAGGCTCTTAACTACAAAACGAGCAACCAAGTTCCTAGAGAAGAGAGAACAAATGAGGAACTACTAGATGTCCCGGCCACCCCAACACGCTGAGTGAGGTGGAATCCCAGAATGCGAAAGTGAGCATAGATAAGGGAAACAAACTAAAAAGACTGATGGTTGCTCTTCATACCTTGTTTTAAACCCACAACAAAACATGCTGGGCATTTCTTCACCAACTTGTAAAATTTCAAACACTCATTGCAGGTCTTCTTAACACAACCTCCCCTCCGTCATCTTCAGTTTTCTTATAAACCCGTGTCTGTCAAGTCCTAGAACTGTTTTATGTGTGATGGTGAGGGCATCGTATTTGGGGAGCCAGCAGTATCCTCCCCTTATCTCCACTTCTACAGATATCCCCCACGCCCGCTCCCCAGCCTGAGCTGTCTCGTCAGAAGCAGTTTCCAGATAGCTGTTCTGTACTTCTTGGAAATGAGATTGGAGAGGATGGGGTTGTTGAACGCGCCCAGAGAGAAAAGCTGCAGAGCGACAATGGTAGCTAACGTATTGAGAGAAGCTCATCATCTGGGAATCTTCAGTGTTCGTGTAAATGATTCTGCCAGTATGGAAAGGCAACCAACAAGCTATGAACCACCGCCACCGTAAAACAAGACACAGGCGCCGGACTTGGCAAACTCATTCAAATAAAATAAAGCCCCACCTGTCCCCTGTACCTGGATGGGTAAGTAACAGCAACATGAGTTAGAAGCTTTACTTAAACAGATCATCATGCTAGCCACTCCCCTCCCCCGCAAAAAAAAAAATAAATAAATAAAAAAAATCAGATCGTGAACTGCATTGATGTTTGCTTTCTAACTGTACACTAGGATCACAAATGTGTAAGCACAATTCCACACCAGAAGGGGCCCCACAAGTGGTTTTGGCTTCCGCTTCCGCTTTAGAAATATGTTCTGGTTCTCTCTGGAAATGATTCTCAGCAGTTCTGAAGAGTTTTAGTTATTTGTTTTGGTTCGCTTTAGTCTCCAGAATAATTTAACATAGAGTAGAATCTTCAGCAATCAAGCTCATCTTCTCAAGGGAACTGGGAGTAACGCCAATTACGAACCTATCAGAGACTGAGCGAGCTCCCAGTTACCCATCCTGGATCGCAGCGACTTTGGAAAACGTTCACTATCTCCGGGTTCCCGCCCCCCACCCTAAGGGCTCAACGTGATCCCCTACTTTCACTGGGAAACAAATCTACAGGTGAAGGAGCAAAGCTGATGTGCCCAACAGTGTTTGGAGAGGGGGTTGGTATCACCTACTCAGGACAAGGACCCCTTCGCGCCTTGGTCAGGCCTCCCCGGGGGACCGGCTTTTCCACAGCTCGCATCCGATGAGCCCATAGAGGATGCTGAGGCACAGGAAGGGCAGGAAGAAGTTGGCAGTGGTGACCCACAACATGATGCTCAGCTCCTCGAGCTGCGCGGCGCTTGGATCGCACTCACCGATAACAGCGCTGCAGCCTCCACAGCCTCGGTTTCGAAAGATGGCAGGGACAGCACTGGTGTCCACGAGGACCCGAGGGGCAGCGGGACCCGGGTCGAGGGGTTGACCTGCAGAGAGGCCGGGGAGGACATCCTGCTGGACGCCCACCAGAAAGAAGAAGGGCCCTGCTGAGAGCAATGCCACTACCCAAAGCGCGGCGATGAGCGGCTCTGGGTGACAAGGACGACCCGTGCTCGTAGCGGACGGCAGATTGCCAGGTAGCACTCAACACTGAGTGCCTGTCGCGTGCAGCAGCGTGGCATGGGTGCAGCCCTCGCCCAAGTAGAGAGACAGGCGCCAGAGAAGTGTCCCGAACACACAGGGCCTCTAGCGCCACAGATGGTACAGGTTGAAAGGGAGCCCAAGCTGGATGAGCAGATCGGACACCGCCATGCCGCCCAGGTACAGGTTGGTGGTGGTCCGCAAGTCGCGGTAGCGCTCGATCAGCAGCACGGTCACCAAGTTGCCGCTCATACCCAGGGCGAACAGGCTGAGGCACACCGAGGTCACTGGCATCAGCGCCCCCAGGGGAAATGCCAAGCAGTGGGGCTCATCACACAGCTGCAGCGCGCCCCACAGCGGTTCCCCCGCGCCCAGGACGGTCGCTGACATTCCAGGTCATGGCTGTGGGTTGCCTAAGTGCGTTCATTGCCCTCACCACAAGGTGGTGGGTGGGAACCCGGAGTGCATTGTCCCCGGGAGTGCAGTGAGATGCGGGTAGCCTCCGCCTCCGCACGTGGCCAGCCCCCAGCTCCAGCCTGGACACTGTCTCCCAGTCCCTAGGTTTTGCAGGGCGTTCCCTCGCGACACTGACCGCATCTTAGGAGCCCTGAAGGGTCTTCTGAGGGGCTAAGCCCAGGTACTGCGTCCTGAAGGTGGGAGAGGGCACCTGCTATCAGGAAGCCGCCATCCTAGCTAGAAAGAGAGCAGTCCAGGCAGGCATTGGAGCCCTTTCTGGGTCTAGTATTGGTCCTGTGACAGAGCTGCTGCCTGGCCTTGAAAATGTCTCACATCTGGTCCCTGCACAGTCCTTACACCTCTGTAAGTTTACAAATGAGGGTGGAGGGTGTGCATCAAATTACGGATCCCTCAAATCTACAAACAAGATCGTTAAAAACAACAAAAACTTACCCCTAAGAACCTGGGTTTGTGTACACTTAAATGCTTTCACACTCTATGTGTTTTTAAACTGAAAACACAAAAGACTATGCCAAACTTTTGAAAGAACAAAAATTTAGGAAAAGGTGAAAAAGGTGTTATGAGTCAGCTTCTTGTAGTCTCTCACAATAGCCGAGGCTTCCGACTCATCAGGCTCTGTGTTGTCAACCTAGTCCTCGTGGGCATGGACCAAGCGGTGTTCAAGTATTTAAGGTCCACTAGAACTTGGACAGCCCACTCAGCTCCACTCCCTGTCTCCCTCTCCATCACCCTCTCCTAACCCTGGCCTTTCTCAACAGCCCTTTGGCCAAAGCCTTTATCTTCGCAAACAAACTGGAGTCTAGCAAAGCTTTTCATTCATTCTGTTGTGATTTAAACTTTCAATCTTGAACTGGTGAGATGCTCAGGGAGCAAAGGCCTTTGCTGCCAGGCCTGGAGATCTGAGTTCCATCCCTCCATGTAGAAGGAGAGAACACTCTTTGCAAGTTGTCTTCTGGCATCCACATGCATTGTTGTGGCACACAAATGTGTACATATGCAAAAGTCAATGTAAGAAAGGTGAAAAAATTAAGTCACCGTGTCTTCAATAAATAAATGTAAAAAGAAATTAAAATAAAAAAATTGAACCTCTCCTCCCCAAGTTCTTCCTTCTCTTTTAGACCTGAAATTCGGGACAAATGCCTTCTGCCCTTGCTTGCCTTGTATATTCAAGAAGCATGGCCCTTATGAGGGCTGTTTTCTATCATTGCTTTCTTGCTGTTCTAAAGCCTACCTCCACCAAACTGCACCAGAACCCCCTTCTCCAGACCTCATTGCTCACTTTTGTTCCCTGAGGCTCAGCTGCCTCCCTGTCTCCAGTAAGCAAAGCACTGGGACAAATCACACCTCCCCGATGACCTTGGCCTCTTGGACTGCTGACTTCATTTCTATCAATGGCCAACCAGGCCCCTTACCCCAACTCCCGTTATTCCCAACTGAACTTATTCCTATCCTAAGGTTTCGGGAGCCCACCTCTACCTTGCCGACGACTGTGCATCCCTGTTCTTGCCTGGCTCTTTGCAGCTCACTTTTCCTCATGGGTATTCTGGTAATCCTTTACCCTGTTTGGGTCTTCTGTCTTTTCCTTGTCTCTCACCTGCCTCAGGTCCTCACTTTCTTCCCTTTCCCAACTTAAATTTCACGAGCAGCGACACCCTCAGTGTCCTTGCCTTTATCTTCATCAACACCCCATTCCACCCAGAGCACAGCCACCTCTCTGGTTAAGCTGTGCTCCGCCTACACCATGCATGCTCCCACTTTGCTGCCTTTCACTGAAAATGCATACCTTTAGCAGGACTTAGCTCAGTGGTTCTAAACTTGTGGGCTGCAACCCCTTTGGGGGTGGGGTTAAAGAATCATTTCACAGGGATCACATATTTACATTACAATTCATTTACTCTTTTGTTTTTATTTTTGTTTTTCAAGACAGGGTTTTCTGTATAGCTCTGGCTGTCCTGAAATTCGCTCTGTAGACCAGGCTGGCCTGGAACTCATAGTAATCCACCTGCCTCTACCCCCCAAGTGCTGGGATTAAAGGCATGTGCCACCACTGCCCAGCTACATTACAATTCATCACAGTAGTAAACTTATTTATGAAGTAGCAATGAAATAATTTTATGGTTGGGGATCACCACAACGTGAGGAACTGTATTAGGGGGTCCCAGCACTAGGAAGGTTGAGAATCACTGCCTTAGCTTCTCCCCAACATTCACCACCAGAATACTTACCTTCCCTACCTCAGTTACTCCCTCACTCTTCAGACTCCTGCCCTGAACCTTCCTCTCCATTAACCCTCAGTTCCTCTCCCTCTCACTCTGGGATGGTGATCTTGCATCCAATTTCTCTGACAAAACAGAAGTAATGGGAAGGAAATGTCTATATTGTCCCACCACCACACCATCCTGCCTTCCTTCCTCCACTAGACAAATGAATAAGCCTTGTTGCTGGAGTCAGCTTGACCTCTTTAAGCATCCCATCACTTAATCAATTCCCTTCCTCTCCTACATTGTATATTTTTTTTTCTTCTGAATCATTTCCAAATCTTCAATAAAGTTCAAGAGTTTATTTTCAAGTCTCCCCTCCCCTCCCTCCTTCCCAGGCTTTCGAAGAGACAATGTAGTGTCTTCATCTATAATTGATGTTTTCCCCTAAGCTTTCAGTAGCAGGGCAGCAAGATGAAGCAGCCAGAGTACTGCAGGGTGCAGCTTGGGCAAATGAACAGAAGGTCCAGTAAGTGTTTTCTTGGGTTGCCTTTGAATCCCTAAGGATCTAGGCATTGGGGGTTAGGACAGGTGGCTTAAAGGTCTTTGTGTAGTTAGAAGACAAGGGTACCTAACTGTGTTCTTGGTGGCATGGGCTGGCACTGGCTAGACTGTATTTCCATGTCCCCTTCTCCCTTGTCATGAGTTGTCTCTGGCCTTTCCTGGACTCATAACACTTGGGCTGCCTGGGCTTCCAATCTCTGAGTCTCTCATTTCTTCCACTCTGCTCTGCAGCTTGGAAGGCTAGTCCTACTTCTGCTGAAGGTACCCCGATTCCTTTGCTCATCCACTAGTGTCACCTAAGAAGGCTGTTTCAAGTGGCCACCACATCAGGTGTGTAGTGTAGCCCTAGTCTGTGTGTGCCTTCCATTCAGGTATGCAGGTATCCCCTTCTCCATTTTCTCTAGAGTATTATAAACGTACTATTCAGCTCACTTGGCTATTCATTTAATAAATATATCAGCATCTGGTGCACCAGAAGGCAGGGTTTTTAATCTATTGCGCCCAGAGCTGCTTCTCTGCTGTCTGGATCGGCACATCTCAGAAAATGAGAATTTGGTAAATATTTGTAAGATGTCTTTGATAATCACCTATCACTAGTCGGGTGAATCACTGATAGGGAGAGATGAATCACAGTGACTTTGTTTTTGTTTTGACAGCAGGACTATGGTGAATTTCAAACATTGGCTCAGTCCTGAGGGTGTAGCTGAGCCTTGCTTATTGACATTCTGTGTTCTAAGAACTGACCAACTTTACATGGTAGTTCCAGAGCCATGTGCCAGCAGGTCATCTGACGAGGGGGCTTTTTGAGTGGATCGGGGCTGCAGACATCTCTCCTCACCTAAGCATCTCTCTTAGTATTTGTTGGGGGCAAGAATATATGCAGGTCTGGCCCTGCTTTTCAGACCCTGTGTTTCTGAAAGCAAGAGGGTCAAGCCCCTAATAGGCTTCTGGTGTGTCAGGAGGCCTAAGAGGCCTCCTAGGCTGAGATGTCCTGATTACAAGAGCTAGTGCACGCTGTTTGAGCCCTTGCATATTTTAACTCAATCTTTAACAGCTTAGGGTAATAGCCTCTTAGTAACCTCATATGAGCCAGAAAGGTTGGGGCTGCACAGTCCACTGGTAAAGCCACTGAGCACTGTAGTCTCCTGCTGGGCGTTGTAACTTTAGCAGATATAGGGAGGGCTTAGTAGAACAAGTCTGCTGGAAGTCTTTCAGAAACTAAATTATGAGGGTAGGTGAGAAAGGCTTTAGGGAATGCCCACAACTTGAATTTCACCGAAAACTTGAGACTTCACAGGTTTGGCCTCTTCTCCACAGAAAGGCAGTTATCTGAGGCAGTCCTAGGAATGTGAGCAACCACAGCAACTGACACATTTTGTAACATATCTGCTACTTATCTGCATGGTCCTGGGCCTGGGACACATGAAGCTGGGGCTTTACTACTGAGCTAGGATATCCCCAGTCCACACTTTCTAACATTTTAACAAACCAGATTTGGTAAATTTCATGTTATGTTTCAGGTTTTCAGTACTTCCTGTAAAGCAGGAAAGGTGTGGCAGGTCTGGGTCCCTATCCCTCAAAGGCTGCCACCTGTGGACTGGTGTCCACTGTGTGTGTACCCAAGTTCTCTGCACCCTCAGGCATATCCTGAGGTTTCTGTGTAAGAACACCTGTGTGCCATGCTCAAGGGACAGCTTACTGAGGTATTTCCCCTAGCATGTGGGTTTCAGGGATTGCACTCAGGTCCTCAGGCTTGCCTGCAAGTGCAGTCCACCTTACCAGTTCCAGAAAAGGCATCTTAAGCAAAAGGCAGAGACAGCAAAGCTGGCTTTGGAAGAGGAACCTGGCAGAGAAGACTTAGAGCTCGCTTCTCCCTAATAAACCTCTAGGATCTGACCAGGATGTGGGCTCAGGTGTGGCCAGGGCTACCTACGACACAGCTTCCTGTCACTGCAGTGAATGCTCACCTCAGCTCCCCCTGGGGAAAAGAGGCAGGCTCAGTGTGGCCAGGACAATGGTAAGCTCACCCCATTCCCCACGAGATGAAAAGCTGCCACTACCTAAACATCTGAAGGGGCAGCTGTAAATTCTGACAGGTTGATGACCACTATTATGTATATTTATTTTGTCAATTCTTCTTCCTGAGTTGCTTCTAAGACCACCAGGGGAAAACTGGGCATGTTGGTTG